ATATGGTTCATAGGGTCACGAAGAGTCGGACACGACTTAACGACTGAACAACAACAACAACATGGCAAACAGGCAGCTGCCAGACTCCTGTGAGTTAACTGTTCAACCAGACATGTTTATTTGAATATCTAATATTAAAACAATTTTTTAAATGCAACAAACATCTTTTAATATCAAAAGTGCATTCTAAAACTGCTAAACATGCCTGTGATCTTTATTTAAAGTTTCTATATATCAAATAACTACAGAGAAACCATTTGCTAATGTCCCAGAGTACCGAAGTTTATATTATTCTGGGTGGTATGGGAAATTAAAATGACCACCTTGTGACCTAGAACAAATTGGTGGAAAGGAACAACATGATCAATCAGCACAAAAGCACAATATGAGTCCCACAGAGGAAATTATGACAATGGCTGGTCAAACTGGAGCCAACCCTACAGATATATGAAAACCTCTGAGGTCTTAAGAGCTACAGTTTTGTGAATTAGGCAAACATACCTTGATGTGTATAGTACATTATACAACCTCAGTCAGAAAGAGGTTGGGGGGGAGTCTCCTTTTACTTTACCCACTTAAATACATTATTGTTAGGCTAGAGTATTCTACTTTCTCTTAATATTACAAATAAGAGAATTAAGGCAACTAAAGTAAAAAAAAAATTACAACAGCTAAAACAAATCTGTTAAAACTATTGAATAGTTTTCCCTGGACTACAATAGTCATCAGAAATAATGCTCCCAAATACAGGTAGTCTTTGTTTAGCAACTGTCTTGTTTAGCAACCATTCTAAGTTACAGCAGTGATGAAAAGTAACTTTGAGACCAATCCTCACATTTACGACCTTTGCAGGTCTGTAAAGCAAAGGAAAGCCGAAGTAAGTTCATAAGCATAGGAGCAGTTTCATTTAGCAACCGCTTCGCTCAACAATCGAGTTGCTGGTCCCAATTGTGGTTGCTAAATGAGGACTACCTGTATTAAAAACAGTTGGATACTTGTGAAGACAGAAATGGAATGCACATTAAAAGCAACTGATTAACATTTGTTCTGAGAAAATGACCCATTTTTAAAGTTAAAGGTTAGAGCAATCTGCAGGTTAGATGAAAAAGCTGTGTTTTCCTCCTTTCAGTTTCCTATTACTCATGGAAAGCAATTAAAAAAATAAATACATAGTTTTTAAAACAGATCAGATAGTAGGCTCTTCCCTACATCTGTTGCCATGTTCTTTCCTGATGCCTTTGAGATGGGAGAAAAGCATCACTTATGAAACCACTGCCTTCACACAAGGATGCAGCCATCAGTTTTGGCTGTCCTGGGGGGCGGGTGGTGAGGTGAATCCAGGGAAGTGGATTCTGTCTGCCACTCTCTTCCTCCCAAGCACAGATATCATTGCCTTCCCTGCTCCCTTCCCTTCCATTTCTCTTCCTCTTCTCTTACCGCTGTGCTCAGGGGAGAGCAGCGCTGTGGCCTTGACAGCAGCTGCTGCTGCAACAGGTCACACCTGTAGCCAGGCCAAACGTAGATCTTTCCAGCAGCGGTGCTGTGCAGCAAATGGCCACAAAGGTACAGAGCTCCATAAATGGATGGAGGGGCCAGTTCTGTGGTGACCATATGTCCTCCACAAATGGTAAGCAGTCCATCCTGGAATCAGGGCAGGGAGAGTGTGTGGTTGAGCCCACTGTCTTTTATTCCTTTTTAGAAAGATGAGATATCGTGCAAGCTGAGTTCTGACTATATTTAGTTTATTTTTAGATAAGAACATTTAAAAAGCCATGTTGGATCAAAGGCCAGCATTCCGTTTCCAAAATGCTTATCTAGGTGCCACAAAGAGGATATGAGGATAACACCAATATCCAATTTATGTTCCCCAGAGTTTTGTTTTTTGCAGCCCAGTTGTGATAGTCCGAGCTATGCAAACATAGAATTCTAGTTTATTAGTATCTTGTCTGAAGCCACTATAAACTGTCAGGAGCTTGTCTCCTTCCCTTGTTCCATCTGGGGAAGCAACAGTAAAATATGCAAATTTCATTTTGCTTTCTCTTTCAGTACTTTGCTGTCTTTTTCTTACCCTTTCAGAAGCTAAACAGTCTTTTCTGTTGATATGCCACAATTTTTGTACAGTTTTCTAAGTAAATGATTGATTATTGTAATTCACCTGTCAGCTCTGTAAATCAGGCAAGCAAAAATAGACAGTTTGCTTTCCTCCTGAGATTTTGTAGTGAGATTTTGATTGCAACAAAAGTGTATCAACATGCTTGATTTCAACAAAAACTGTATTCTTTGATAGTTGGTGCTACTTTAAGGATTGCCATTGGTGGAACTTGTTTATCTGAAATCCTTTCTATTAGTGAAAACCTAGTACCATGAAAGCATCTTTTGTTTCTGTCCTTCAAAAGAGGTAATCTGAATGAAGCATGGGGGTGATATGGTTTATAAATGCCTACCTAACTCTATGATGGATTATACCTATGGATTTCAGGAAGGTTAGGGTTAGGGTTAGGGTTTCAAGCAATGAGCATGAAACTGAGCAAACTCAGGGAAGCAGTGAAGGACAGGAAGGCCTGGCGTGATATGGTTCATGGGGTCACAAAGAGTCGGACATGACTTAACAACTGAACAAAAACAATTTTTTATTTTCAAAGCCAGATTTTTCTTCCCGGGGAAGGCAGCAGTAATATCTAAAAGTCAACATGTACAATTCATAAATAGCAGCTAAATGGTCAGATAAATTTATTTAGGGCCCAGTAATCTATACATTGTCTGATTTTCTTGAATGGGACTGTTATTTTATTCTGTGGGTAGATTCACACATTGCTAAGCGATGAGTAATGATGTTTATTAAATAAATCACAATTGTCTACTATGCTGTAACCCATTCTTTACAAACTATAATGACTGTGTCCTTTGTGTTATTCCAAAAAACCCCAAGCCACATTTTGACTTAACATTGGCCTGCATTTTAAAATTCAAGAGTAGGAAATTTGGAACATTTTATTTGTTCTGAACTTTGTATAATCCAGTCTTGTTCTCCTACTCCCCCCATCCCCATTGATCTTGAGTTTTGAGGTTGAATCTGTTAATGATTATAAATCTTAACAATGCTGCAGTTGTCACAGTCGCTTTCAGGTAATGTAGGAAAAAAACCTCTCATACATTCCTTCATTCCAGTATACTGGAACTATTTGAAAGCCCTATCTGTTAAAATGAGGGTAATTTAGTAAACATGACACACACTGATTGCACCAGGTTGTACTGTGTTTTAGAGGTACATTGTGTTCTCATAAAGGTCTCCTGCCTTGAAGGTAGAGATATGCATATGTATGGATGCTGTCATTTGTGGCCTGAACCATTCATTTGATTGGGAGGCACCATCTTTTAACTAGTGGTAGCAGGCATCAGGAAAATGGCTCTTAGGCCAATTGGCTGGATATGTGGGGAGCTTGTCAGGAAATTTGCTGGACAAGGTATGAATCTTTTGATGCCTGAGTCTTGGATATAAAAAATACTTACATCTTTACATCTTCAAACCCATTTAAAAAAAAAAAATCCAGCTTCTACCAAATATACACATTCCCATACACATAACTTTGTTGAATCTGGCTAAAATAGCCAAACTCAGAGAGAAATGTCATCAAAGAGAAGTTTCAGTGAAGTGCCTACACATTTAGAAATAGACACGTATATGTGAGGGTTGGGTTAAGTTCCTACAATATGCACTTACCAACTCAGTGCCTCCAACTGCCCCCACAATTACAATAAACAGTAGTCAGTAATGAAGGTCTAGTCCTGCCAAATTATTAGCCCCTCAGAAAGAAGTTAGGAGCAGACCTGGTCAAGCTGGCTAATCTTTGATTATAAATAAAGTTTATACATATAAGAAGCTGCCTTTAAGCCATACTAACAATCCATTTAGCTCACTCTTAATGACAACAGTTCTTTGAATTCTCTAAACCCCACTACTTAAGATCCTTAAAAGGGAAATCAGGGAGTGAAAATGGGAATGGGCTTTCCCTGGGACAGAGTCACTGTAGAATACTGAAAAGAAAGGAAAGGAATATTGATACTGGGCATAGTCACGACATAGGCTTTGGAATATTATGGTTCAAACTGGGTAGGATATGGTACTCATTGATGTGGCCTAGCAAAATCTGAATGGCATTTTATTTTCCAATACTAATTTAGCAATATAATGTGTTTTCCATTATATTGGTCAAATATTGGTTGATCACCGACTCAGCCCTGCTGCTATAGCTCATTTAACACAATTTTTTACAAATATGCAGTGCTTCATATCTGAAATTTAATTTTGAAGATCAGGATTTTATTATTTTAATTATTGTATTTCAATTCAGCTGCGGTTATACAGAGAGCCTTCTTGGAAATTATAGATGAGATTAGGGAGGAATTTCCAAACCTATTGAGGCTGACACGTTCAAACCAGGTAATATTTCTTAATTATTGCATTTCCTTGCTATTTGAATGTTCAAACTTTTCATAAGGTGATTTGTTACAAGTATGTTGTATTTACTTCTCATTTTGCAAAATTTCAGCTTACATATACAATGAAAAATTTGATGGTAGAGATATTCAGCTCACTAGATACATTTAAAAAGCTGTTGCAATATTGCATGCATCTGTATGTGTAATGATATGTGGGAAAGACCTTGGGAGAATGGGCCCAGAGACTCTGCCTAGGGAACAGTCAGTTAAGAGACAGCATAACCTGCAGCTGGATGTGGGCAGGGCAAGAGGCTCAGAAGAGAGCCTCCTTAATTTCTTCAGCTGTAAAGGAGACGGAGAAGAATTGTACTTTCAGACTTGCAAGATTAATGTCAGCCTTACTAGGCATACCAGACAGGAAACACAACCAGATGAGCTAATTCCACTTTATTGTAAGGCTACAGGAATAGAATTTTACAAGTCTGAAAGTACAATTCTCCCCCGTCTCCTTTACAGATGGAGAAATTAGGGAGGCTCTCTTCTGAGCCTCTTGCCCCACCCACGATCCAGCTGCAGGCTATCCTCTCTCTTATCTGACCATTCCCTAGGCAGCATCTCTGGGCCCTTTCTCCCAAGATCTTTCCTACATACTATTACAGTATGTCATGTTCAGTTTAGCCTCAACTTTCTTACGTATGAGCACCTTAATTGAAAGTGTCAGGTAAGAAATAGGGTATGATTAAAAACAACAAAAAGAAAATAAATATCTAATTATTCAGTGCTGCAGGTATCCATGTTACACCTTTATATCATACTAAAAATGTACAAGTATAATTTACACTAGAACAAAGGTGACCTTAAATTTATCTCTGTCACAGTGACAAACTTGTAAATACTGTAGCTTATAGAGGAGATAGAAATGAGGGAAGTAGGTAACTGTTTTCTATCTCCCTGCAACATTTTTTATCAGTCCATGTTGGTTTGGTTGATTGCTGCAACTATTTTTTAACAGAACAGAACGAATAGTTTTGTTTTGTTTTTTATTGTGAACCTCCTGTGAAATCAAACTCTTGGCAAATGTTGAGCATTTCACAAAGTAATGACCATGCTGGTTCATGATGAGAGGATTTGTTCAAACGCATGTGGCAGGGAACCAAGTTGGGGAATGATGTTGTAGCAAATGACAATACTTGTTCATAATGTGCAACAGAGTTGTGAAATTGCTTTCATTTTTATAAAACAATATGATTATATAATAGCATATTGAGTAGAAACAGGCACGCTGTTCATATGATACATTAAGCCACAAACTTGCCAACTAAACTTTAGGCTTAATGTTCTGCAAACTCTATCTGTGATCATTTTATGGTTCAGTATGTTGTGAAATCAAAGAAACTGGGTTGGATAACCCACAGTTAGCTACAGATAAGCAGATCACATGAATGGAGTCACTCAGTTGCAAGGCTGAAAGCTATTGTTACAAGTAGATGCATTTTAGTCAAACAAAATATCTGTTATAACTAGTAATGTTTTAACTAATGTTGATGCCATTTATACAACGGAAGGACATAGATCTATCTGTCCACATATAAAGAATATTATAATAAGGCTTATCCATCATAAAGACATTGTCAAAACCCAAGTGAAGGAGAGTTTGTAAATTTGGAGCCACCAGATCTGGGCTACAAAGATCCACAGGATCACTAAATGTCAATAAAGGCCTTGGCTGCCACCTGGAACAGGTAGGCGGCCAGGGCCTTGGACAGGATCGCGTCTATGCGACCTCTCTTGCCACATCGGCCCCGACACTCCCCATGGTTTATGGAGGAGTTGAGGGTGCTGAAGAGGGTCAAGAGACATCTAAAGCACTGCTGCAGGAAGACAAAGACCGAATCCAACCGAACACAGGTTAGAGCCACTATCAAGGCCTACATTGTGGCGATAAGAGCCAATACTTCCCTGCCCTTATCGCATCCGCAGAGTACTGCCCGGAAGCCCTGTTTGGGATCACTAGATCCCTCCTTGGTAGGGGGGATCTGGTGATTCATTTGCAGGGCCACGTGGAGGAATTTTCAGAACATCTGCAGGACAAAATCGCTTGGATTCATTCCAAGTTAGACTCTGAGCATGGGGCACGGTCTGGGGAGATACCAGAGGATCATTCTTACCAAGTTATCTGGGAACAGTTTGATCCTATTGTTCCTGAGGAAGTGGACAGGATCCTCCGGACTGTGAAGGCCACCACTTGCCATCTGGACCCATGCCCTTCCTGGCTGATGAAAGCAGCTTGGGAGGTGACATGTAGTTGGATCCAGGCGATAGTTAATACATCCTTGCAGGAGGGAGTGTTTCCAGCTGCCTTTA